CTCAGTGACTTGAGAATCGATTTCGGACGAGTTTCCCGTACGCATCTTGCCAACCGCTACCGAAGGTACGGCTGCATATGTGTACTCATATATCCATGCAGCATCACGGCCGCTTCATACCAATCCCTTCGCTTCATAATTTGCTTAGCAAATGAATGAATACGAGCGTCAGGAACGGTCGTCCATTTGTGGGCGGGCGGGCGTGGCGGGCGTTTGGGACGTAAAGTTGTGGCTTGATAGGGCCCTTATAAGGGCACCTTCCTCGGGAAAAGGCGCTATGCAGCGCCTGCTCAGGGTCGCGGAATTCCGTCCTGCCAGGCGTATTAATCCTACTCGTCTTGGGGGATTTATCGTGCCAACTGCCTTTAACTTGTCACTCCAACTAGAGAAGTCTTACCATAGTGGCTCGACGAGCTTGCTCCAGCTTCACAAGAACTTACAGGTTTCACCAGAGTGAGACTTGTAAACCGGAACTAGTGAAGCAGCGAAAGTGCAAAATGCCCCCCCCGTCGCCAAACTGCACCCAGTAATAGTTTGAACATACTGAATGCACGGAGGCTTTTTCTCCGACGTTCTTCTTTAACAGAATTGGCAATGGCTTCTTGGCTGCTGCGTGCGCTTTTTCTTCTTGGATGAACCTCTTGCTTTTGATCAGGAAGCTGCCCAGGTATGCTCAGTTACGATCCCGTTTCGTCAAGCTCGTAGTATGAGTCCTTTCACAGATTCGGCATCTATGTGGTTATGTTCTTTGACGTGCTGCGAACATTCTCGCGCTTCTTTATCGTATTCGCGTTGTTCGTAATAGCGTTCAGCATATCGTTCTTCGTCATTATGCAGAATAGGGTAAGTCTCTCCCCATGTGATGTTCTCCACAGACGATTTCAGTTTAGCCCGAGTTCTCCTCGGTACCATCTGCGGTGCTGAAAACGACGGTGATGATGATCGGTGAGTTCGAGTTCACCGCCATCTTCCATGGCGATGCCGATGTTCATCCGGAACGGTTGTTCGGTCACGCCATCGCTTATCCTCTCTTCCTCTTCTTCTGTGTCATCATGACCATTCTTTTGATGAATCTTCTGGTATGATTAGTACATTAGGCTTTTCCTAGCTGATGGGTAATATTCTCCTTCAAGGTTGGTCTGGCTGTAGATGATATCAAGTCGGTCTTGGAAGAGGCCAAGCTGAAGAGACTAAGCATGCAGGTGGGCGTTCTTATAAATTTCGAAGGAAATATCATTGAAAAGGTTCTTCGATAGGAACCAGCAGATTACTTCCTGTTTACTCCAGCGTTCTTCCCTCAAAATAACTGCCACTGGCAAAGCTGTGCTGAGGAAAATGCTACTTAATGGCACCTTCCAAATTCCTTGCTCAAGACATGCAAACAATACTCCTCGATATGCTTCCAGCCGCATTGCCTACGGCCACATTGTGAAGCAGTTGGTTGCAACGCGGGCATTCCATCCAACAGGGTCCAGCATCTCCCTTCGTAATACCCTTGGCCATCATTAGAAACTTAAAGGCACTCTTGCACGATTTGATACTCGCTCATTAAATATGCTAGCCACGGGCTGCTGTGTAGTGGGGAAAAAATCCCTCCTTCTCAATGACTCAAAAATCAATTTCGGACGAGTTTCTCGTAGGCATCTTGCCTATAACCGCTACTGAAGGTACGGCTGCATATATACTCATCACTATTCATGCCAGCCATCACCGTGCGCTTATACTCCAATCTCAATGGTGAGCGCTCAGACACGGTCGTCCCATTGTTGGCGCGGGCGTTTCGGGCGCTTCGGGTTTGGTATGTGTGGCTTGATAGCTCCCTATATAAGGGCTTCTTAAGAAGAAGCATTACTGCAGCGCCCTGCTCAGGGTCGCGAAATTCCGTCCTGTCAGGCGTAGTAGTCCTACTCGTCCCGGAGGATTTATCGTGCCAGCTGCCTCCAACAATTTTTGTCCCATTGTGAAGAGCGTCGTCTTCAAAGGGCTGAAAATGGCTCAAGGTTTAGGAGTTGCTCTCTGTATCCGTTCCTAATCCATAGCGTTTCCGAAGAACGTTCATGTACTAACTGCAAGTAACAGTGAGTGGCTCCCGCTCATGCGATGTGGACTGGACGTGAATTTAATTCCTTGCGTCCGCGGAATTCTTGTTAGCTTGCCTTTCCTGACTATTCCATCGATGAGCATTAGGGAGCGTGGAAGTTTGACGACGTAGAGAACAACCTCTGAACCTTAAGCCATGTGCAGGCCGTTGAGAATGAAGATCCAGTCAGAACTTCAGGCCGGTATCAATGAAGAGATCCAGGTTCAGCCTCGGTAGTACGTAGAAACGCACTGAACTACTCACTGGCCATTGATGTTTGTCCAGGCCTATCGCTGGATGTGGCGAACTCACGTAGTGGCAAAGAAGGAGATTCTTATGGGCAAATATCACCTGAGAATATCTGGAAATAAGTAGAATGGTGTGGAAAAGTTGGCTTATTGTAACATTTCAGCCATGCCATTTCAACGCACAGTCTTGATCGACTGTAATTAGCACGCCTACTGGCATGCTGTGGCATTTCAGAGCTGCAAGATAGGGATCACCCTCCAACTGAACCGGCCGACCTTTTCTCTTCCTTTTCCCTTTTCCCTCCCACTTCCACACCTGAGGCGACTGGCATCCCATGAAGCCTTTTTCTCGATTAAGCTGCCACTCACACGCTTCTGGTGAACCTGATGGATGCGTGGCGTACTCCAAAGGTAATGTTCAGCGCTGGACCTTGAACATCTGATGCCTTCTTCCACCGCTTCGTTCTACGTGGCTATTCAAAATAAAACTGGTAATTTCCTAGCGTATGGCATGGTTCGTAGGCTATGCCTTGTTGACAAACATTCAGAACAGTGTCTCCCTAGATAATGAGCCCTCTCATTGGGTTTTTTTGTGTCTCTTTTACAAGAGTGTTTAGTGATTCAGGCTGATCTTGTACTTCAAGTTGAAGCATCAATGCCGTACATTCGCAAGCTGACCTGCCGATCTTCCATCCGTGTCTATCCCAACCGAACTGATTTCCTGAAACGCCTGCGCAATCGATTCGGGTTCGATTCTTCCAGTGTAGGACAAATGGAGGAGCAATGGGAGAGTAAAGAGGTGGGAAGCTTCTTGTGAGATTTCGACTTTTTATAGAAAGTTCTCGATTTAGGAGGAACTCTTCCACGAGTTTCGCCAAGGTGATCAAATCGCAGAACCATCAGCTCCGGACGCTACAGAAGAATGTGGATGTGATGTACTCGGAGCAAATCAAAACGGCAGCGATGCTTCGAGCTGTGATGGAAAGCCTTCAGGTCAATTTTCAGGAAACTGTCAAGGACTAGCTCAAATCACAACTTCCTCACCATACATGTGAACGCATTTAATTTTTCACTTATACACATTGTGATCGCTATTTGATTCCATTGATTGACTTGGTTCCAGGAGTATGGAGGCCTTACTAAATAGATAATAAAAGCTTTATTCATTATTCAGTGCATCTTTTCTTTTTCCCCATATCGTTTTGAGTCAACCAGAGCGCCCTAAGATCAGACAGATCGTGCTCTCTGCTGGAGTGTGCATGTTTTGTGCCACGAGATACGTAATATCCCTTCTGATGGAATTAGTTCGAGTATGGAGACAGTTGGACCTATCTTTTTCAACGCTGGCTATTATGAAGACAGTATGACGTTCAAAGATAGTCCCCGCGATTGAGTGGTCCGCAAAATGTGTCCTTGTACACTCCTTTTACCTGAGAAGGAGTAGCTGTGGCATTCGAACATAGTACAAAGTGGATTACTCCTGGGACCTTCCAATTCGAGACATCTAAGTACAAAGTGGATTGCTCCTGGGAGTAATCCACTTTGTACTATGTTCGAATGCCACAG